TTGGATTAGCGTAATAATTGACGGGCAAAGTTTTAATGCTCCGAAAATAGCGTGGATTTTTACTTTTACCTATAATTAAAGGATGTTTTTTATCGGTACCTGTCATACAAGTCAATAGAATTGTAAGTCTTGTAGAATCTGGAAGTGCTTGATAATATAGACCGATGTCGTCTACATTGTTTGTGTCATCAGGTGTATAATTAGACGATGCAATAAAATCCCTTAAGTATTCTTCTGGAATTTGAAAATCTTCGTTTTTTTTTTTTTCTCCATGTTTTTTTGAAAACAATATTGTTTCTGTTTTTCTAAAAAACAACCACTCAGTCGTTGGATAAAAATAAGCTATACCTAATTGCAAAGCTAAATGTATAGCTTTCTCTTCTAAAACAGAATCACTGACCGGTACATTTAAATTTCTAACTTGTTGAAATCATCGTAACAAACATTCTTCTCATCAACATTTTGTCCACTTCGTTTTCGTTTTCAAGTTTCCGTTTTCGTTTGCTCGACATTTACGAAAAATGTTTAATCACGAATTACAATAAAATATATGACGAGTGCACGACGTATAACGATAACTGAACGACGCGACGTACACCGATACACTGTCACACTGATAAATACAAAATTAAAATTATTGTTATAAATTAATCAGTTTGAAATACTATAAAAATGATAAGAATGTTCATAGTGATTCAATTATCCGGTATATAGTGATTCTAATAAAAGATCAATTTAACATTAGAATCAAAAGATTTGGTTTGAGATTTTTCTTTTTGATCACAATAAACGGTTGATTCTATAAATCAGCGATCACATTAAGCGGAACTCACTGTATTATATAGTATAAATATTTATACTTATTATACTAGTATATTAGTATATATTATACTCGGGGTATAAGTGATAAAAAAAAAAAAAAGAAAACAAAAGAAGGTTAAAACAAAACATTTAAAACATTTAAATTTCACCAATGAGAAAGTATCACAGAGGAATGTGGTATTTTTTTCGAATCACTGCATTTTAATTTGGAACAGCAATAAATTGTTTTTTTTTCTTTCTAGATAATTGTTTCTTATTGCTATCACACCCTGTGAATTATGTCATCCCGACTGCACAGCATTTGTTTTTCACACAATCGATAACCAACATGGTATTATTAATAAGTGTATGCTACTCTGCGTGATATTCTACTTATTAATGCTGTCACCGTTTAAAAGTGCCAAAAGATAATCGATCGGATTTTTTTTTTACAACCACCCAAATGAAGTCCAGTAACAAATAAACTATGTCTTAAAAAGCTCAAATTAAGATTAATCGTAAGAAATCACTATAACCACTATAATATTCTACTCTTATCAATTGATATTTCAATTCAAATGTTGAAGGCGGCATTATAAAATATAATAGTAGAAACTTTCGAATACAATACGTCTAAATGTTACATTTTCCCATCTAAAATCTAATTTAATAAAGACGTACGTTTTTTGTGTACTTAAAACTGATTGAGAAAATGGTTTCGGATAGGTGACCGACTAAGTTGAACGTGATTTGAGCGTTTATTGTAAATTGTAATTATTTAATGCACAGGAACGTATTTAATTCAGTTATGTTCTCAATTCTTTCCTGTTGAACATTTTTTGCACTCGATTCCGAAACGTTAAGAAAACATAGTGACATTTTCATTTCAACACTGTTTAGATGAAACGTTATCTCGATATTTAACTCAGATCATTAATCATTCATATACGCGACTTCTTACTTTTTTTTACAACAATAAGCACGGCTCGCGAAACGTTCACCAAAACCATGATATCGATTCATTAGTTGTGTTGTTGCATTCGACATTTTGACGCTATACGCGATCGTGGCACACAATTCCAACCGAACCGTAAGATTATCATGTCACGTCGGGTATTACGGTCATCGAACATGCGACAGTACAGGCCGATAATCCGAAAACAAATTCCAACGAACGCACGACATGAATAATACCTCTGAACTTTTATCGTTGACCGTCACTACTCTCAGACGATAATCGGATGACTTAATCGGATGACTAATCGGATGACTCTCCGATACTATTCAAGTTCCTAATAAAACGTCTTAACAATGTTGTAAACGTATTACTACTACAGTTCATTTGTTTGTTTAAATGTAAACCGCGCTGGAAAAAATGTAACTTTCCGTCTATCGTAGTGAACATGGTTATCGTGTGGGTAAACGGTTCATCAAGTACTGTTCGTCCGTAACAACTACCAGAATTATTTTTAGGTGGATGTTTTTCTTATTTTTTTTTTTTTTTTTTGTAATAAAATGTAATCTGCACAGGATTTCACATTCATGTAGTCATAAAAAAAATTTCTGGGCATTATTCTTTGCGCAGCGCAGAATAACTTTGACTCGCGCAGCCATAGTATCTGTATCCATGCTGTAAGCCACAGTTAAAAATCTACATAAATATATATATATTTCTTAAACCGTGCTGTAAATGCAAGATAATTATAAAATAATAAAATAATTCAATGATTATTATCACCAGTGAGGTAGATAACGCAAATTCCATATGATGGTGTAGTGTAAATATTATCTGCACGAGTGCAATTATAATACGACTCCGTGAAATTTGGCGATGTCTATAACCGTGTGGTGCGATATTAATGTTCGAGTGAAGCGTTAGCTTTGCCTACTATTAATTAATTTATTAATATAATTTTAATTATTAACTTAATTATTAATTTAAGCCGATGGAAAATGCTAAAAGTGCGAATCAATTGTGATATGATATATGATAAGAAGTGTGCACTATTTAAGATAAAATGTTAAACCGTGTAAGTGTGTGAATACGGCAATATGGCATAATAAAATACATTTTACCACGACCAAATGATTGTATTACTATATTATGAAATACCCTCCCCCCCTGGCTGCCGACAACGACGGTACGACATCCCTGTTCCGGGAGTTCTAGTCGAACTGGTTTGTGCCGCAGTAGTCGGTGAGCAGAAAGCCACCGATACCGGGTAGGACGGCCTAGGGCGTGACCGGGGAGATGGCGAAGTGAAAGATCCATCGACCACGACCAGTCGAAGGTTACAAGAGAAGTGTAGTTCACACTACTAGGTACCAAGAGGCGATGGGGACGAGGAGGGCTTCTCGTCCTGCCACAATGGTGTCGGACTCTTGGGGGCTGGAATCCGCTTACGAAGGGCACAAGGAGGATATTGCGAGGCCGCACGTGGCATCCTGCCTATAAGTGGTGCAGCTCGGTCGCAAAGTCGATCCCTTCCTGAGATGTCAGGAGTGACCGACTCGAGGGAGCAGTAGCGCAAACATGATTTTTTTTTTCGGGAGGGGGGAGTTTGCCATTAATAATTTACTATAGTAATTAATGTTGTACCTTATGTTACATTAATGTTAACCCTATGCAAACATATTGTTGAACGTTGTGCAAAAACAGTATATACTATTTATATTTGTACATAGTAAATAAACCCCTAACATCATATTATTTGTTATTATTGTGTATACTTATAACTTTTATAATTTATCATGAACAGTTTAAGGTTAACGAAAACTAAATGAAAATTGTTAACTTATTATAATAGAATAATGTATGCATAATATTATAATTTTTAAATATAATGCCAATCTTGTTTGTAAAATTGTTTGTAAAACTTAGTTAGATAAGGTTAAAATTTAATGAAGGAAGATGTCTCGAGGAGGTATGCACTCTTAACCCCCTCTGTGTATGCCAATGCGAGAGACAATCCACGGTCGCGCTGCCTCGGGTGATGCATATTGAGCGTCTAAGACCGCGCCAAACAGGGCATTGGCTGTCGAGTCTGTGAACTCTTTTCGGAGGGCGCACGAGACAACAGGTCGCGGAGAACTACCCGATTATTGGGGGGGGGAGCTATTTATCATTTTATTTAGTTATTTATTTTATTATTTTATTTATTATTCATATAACTATGGGGGGGCGAAACGTCTCCAGACCAGCTTTGGGTCTTGCCCTCGGTTGTAACAGTGAAACTCTTTACGTCAGTGCCGGATTTAACCAATGTACCGCTTTAAGCACTAAACAAACTGCCACCTTATAAATATTTTTCTAGTCTAAAAACTGTTATCTAAACATACAATTATAGTTGTTTCCTTTATTACTTAAAATTTAAATGATGTAAAATAAAATTATACAGCTGTAATGAAAATGCATACATGCTATCATATGAAAAAATTAATTATAACCATATGATATAAAATTTAATGATAAAAAACATGGCGGTAAAAAATACTTAAATAGTTCATTTTTAAATTATATTCAACTTTAAATAGCTGATGCTTAGTACCCATCGAATTAAATAAAATAAAACATTTTATAATTAATTGTATTTATTTTAGTTGTAGTTACATATATTAAAAATTATTTGCCGCCCTTGAGAAATTGCTGCCCTAAGCACTAGCTTATAATGTTTACTGGGAAATACGGTACTACGTTGTTGTGTGTGCACTGGAAATCGATCAGTGGGCCTCCAGGTGTTATTTGAGTAACCAACGACTCTTTCGAGATAAATTAATAATTAATTAGAAAAAATGCAATTTTCTGTCTCTGACGCTTTACCGTAGTAAACACGGTTATCTTAACTTATCTAGATGGTAATATCGGGGTATGGTGAGAGAAACCGTCTCGCTTACCATAGTGGTGCAATAATTTAATGAACAATCGTACGGCTATCGTACGAGAAGCGTAGAATTAAAGGTAACGTTACAGGGGTGAAACAGGTTAATATGATTTTAACGGCATTGCGGTGCATGATACCTGGCACCACTAACGAATCAGTATTGATTAGAACGTATAAGACGTCGTTGTCATCGTGAATCTAAACTCGTTTTAACCGTGACCGAGTACCATGATCGATATTATACTCTATGAACTCTTCTGCGTAAAATGTACTGCATGGATTTATTTCGATTTTTAAATTTTGTGTTTTACAAAGCAGTCGCTTTACATGATACCTATACGCCGCAAAAAGTCATCTGGCCGGAAAAAGGGGTATACGCAAAAGCTCTGGCGCTATTTGAGAAAAAAAAAATGTAAAAAATGGGTTAGTCCGGTTGACGTGATCAGAACGCGCAAGTTGAATATGCTGGAATTCTTGACGAAAAACTCGATGGATCCGATTGGATACGTGCCGATGAACCCGCATATCTATGTGGACCACTATCTTCACCCAGCGTCCATAAACACTTCATTATTTTATAACTTGAAGTCCGAAAAGCTTTACTACTACGACAGGGCCAATCAAGAAATCCGGTACGTAACGATTTGGTTTGAAGGTAAATGTATAAATATAATGTAAATGGTACACGCAGTCAGAGCTACGTTAAGCTATGTAGCCGTGCCAGGGAAAATCTAAATATGCCGCCCTTAAGAAAATTACTATTCAAAATAAAAAATACTATATGTAATAAAAATAATATGTATTATACTTATACAGTCGTATAAAAAAAATTATAATTGTAAATTTTTTATTTTATGTTGATCTTCAAAAATTTGCCGTCCCCGGGGTAATTTCCCTTTCTTTCACCCCCGTTAAACGCGGCTCTGTATGTAGCTGTGTTATGGTATTATCTCGAATAATGGTTTTTAATTATTGATTTATATTATTCTTTGACGTGGTGTGATGGATATCACGTCACCGGTCAACTAATAAATAAACAAGCAGCGTATTAGTTCATTCGATTATTTCGTCCATTTGCTACTGATTGATTCAAAATTCGTACTGCATACTTAACGTGTTGATTTTGCATGATAATAAAATCACAATAATGCACTCTTGTTGCGTCATCAAGCTTTAGAAACGCATTTTCACGACTATTCATTTTTAGTTAACGCATCATATATAATCATGATTCGATAGTTGGTCTTTAGTGAGTCGATTAAAACAGTGATTTGAAAAATGTTCAATAGTTTTTTATTACAAATAAATGGACAAGCACATTTTACATATGACTGTTAGTTTTGCGTAAAATATTATCACCTCAAAAGAGTTGAAACAGTTAAACGTATTTATATCCACTCACGTATTATATTATAATAATTTAGAAATTAAAAATATTAAATCTAACAATCGGTACATTTTAAATCGGTACTCATGAAATATTGTTTTAAATATTTTAAAAATCACTAGGTACTCCGAATAACTATTTTCGTGTATTTGCAGATTCCTCGATGTGAAAAACGGCAATACCACTCCTGTAACGGTGATTGAAAACATTAATGTACCTAAAAACGGATTAGCATACGACTGGATTACGAACGACTTATACTTTATCGACGCAAATGAAGGATGTGTCAAAGTCATTGGATTGAATAATTTTATTACGAGAACAGTTAAAAGATCAACGGAGGAATCAGTGATAGTCGCGTTGGCGATTCAGCCTCGTGAAAAGTAATTTTTGATATTTATTCATTATTTTGCACAGACAATTATTTGTAGACCGAATTAACATTAATTTAAATAATGTTTAAATATTTTACTCGAATAATACTATTACATCAAAGGGTTATGAATAGAGAATGCCGAAACTCTTAGGTCAGATAAGATAGGTACGGGTGATGTTATTGAACTTTAAAACGTGAAACCATACTGTCATTGGTCTCGATAAACGATTTTAAGTAAAATAGATCGGGTGTATCAATTTATATTTCTAAAAAATAATAATATAGTAATAGAACCAAATCGCTTTAGGTAAATTGGACCTTTGATTATTTATCATTAAAAAAATAAAATAAAGAAAAAGAAAAAAATATGTACATCTAGATATGAAAGTAAATTACATTGTTTTTTTCTAATTATCACTATTACTACCATACATTTTTTCACAACTACCACATAATCGAAATTTGTTGAAAATCTTTTCATTTTCTAATGCTTATAAAACTTTTTTGCAACTTTCTGGTAAATAAATAAACTATATTACCTACAATAGAAAACTATGGGGAATTTTTAAAATGATCACTCTCAAATTATAAACACCTTTTCCTACTAGAAAAATCGTATGATAATGATAATCGGAGCATCTTTTTGGTCGAAATCATCTACAGACAAAAAAAAAATTAAAAAAATTAAAACAAAGCAATCACATATCCGTTATGTTAAAACCAATGACTTCTTCGTTATTTTTAGAATCTAAAAAAATAAGCAAGCAGATGTATGAAAATTATTATATTCAACGAATTTCATTGAGTGTAATACCAGATGGGGAGGGGGTATTAAGTTTAGAGAATAGAATGGATTAAAATGTCAAAATCTACAAGAGTACTATGAATAACCACTTCAAAAGGCTTTGACTGAATATCAAAAGTTGTTAATAAGAGTTATTGATTTTCAGCACTTTGTTTTTCGTTCGTCGGGAATTCAATCTTAAAACGATCTTCAAAAGTTCGTTAAACGGAAGTAACGAGCAAATGGTGACCAAGATGAGCCTGGGATCCGCGAATACCATTTTGATTGACACCACAAATAATGCGATATTACACATAAACGTTAAGCTACGATTAATTGAGATAACTAGTTTTTATGGAAAACGCCTTGCAATTTTCCCGATCGGGAGATTATACTCATTGATTACAATCTTGGTAAGATTTCCGTAGACGAATACGTTTCGTGCGCGTTCACGAATATTATCAGTGGCGTATATAGGATTTGATTTCAGAGTGAAGTGGAGGGCTTACAAAATAATAATTAGTTTGATTTTAATGTTATAAGTGCTTTTAATAATAATGATAATTGTAAAGCATTATGAGTTAAATATACGAGTACATACATGTATATTAAATAAGAGAAAAAAATCTGAAAATCTGATTTTCGATGCAGCGACGCAGCTCAGCAAATGTATTGCCTATTTATTCGGTGTCTATTGAGGCACTTCAATGAATTTATGTGAGGATTAATTCTGTTGGGCGATTTTCACTTGTACTATTTCTCAAGTACGATTTTAATCATTTTAATATCAGAAAAATATATTCCAAATATCGCTGTTGAATACTAATACCGGTTACTAATATTAGTAACCAATATCAGCATTCAATAATAGTAATATTTTGTAATATTGACGTTCGAAAAAAAAATCAACGGATAATTCAAAGTAACAACGGCAGAATTCGTTCACTCATTCTAAGTAACATTTTTCTCTATATTTCTGTCCATAAATTTAATTTTGACTCAAAAGTCATGTAACTGGGTAAAATAAGCATAGTAAAGTATATTTTTTAAAATCATTCAAAACTCAACCAAGTTTGCTTTTGCTTAGGACATTTGGGATCAATATTTGTGACACAGGATTTATTTCATTATGTTTTAGAAAATTGCTCCACCAATTGATTTTTAAAGTAGTCGATAAACGGTATACAATTTTCCCACTGTTGGGTTCCAGCAGTCCGTGGTACGTAGGTTTAAATGAATTCGGACACGGACTGTACCAAAAATTAATTTTTGTGAGGGAGGAAGGATAGTTTACATTCCGAAATCGTTCTTTGCCTATATACGCCACTAAACATTATTTTATTATAAATCGTACGACACGACTTGCGTATTAGGTTGTTATTTTTTATTGCAAGTGTATAGAATAATGTATGTCCGTTTCAGAACAACAACTTCTTCTCTGCTCTCCGCAGCGATCATTCAGTGGTCGCGGCGGAGTTTGAGAGCCAAGAAAGCCTCTCAAACTCTCTGTTTGCCAGCCACATCATGATGAACGAAATATACTACGAACCGGTCATACCGGACGAAAGGAACCAACAGGAAAACCGTGAACGGTTCGAAAGTTGAATTATTTTAAGATCAATATCCATGTCCTAATATCGTTCCAATTTGATGTAAACAAACGGTGTTTTTCACTTAGTTAACATTTTCCCCGTCTGTTTAATAAAATATTTAAATTCGAATGCTTATCACGTGTAGCATTAGACAATTAATATTTCATCACTTACGAGTGTGTTTCAAACGCGCAGAGCGAAGTGAAGAGTGGCGAATTGATTCTACAATGAAAACAAAATCGTGTAAAAACATTTTCTTTCCGAGATTTGTATGATGTAAAATATAAATACGCACTACATTTATGATTACAATCGTACAATACGTATTTTTGTATTTTGAAAATGTTACGTTTTAAATATTTTATTTTAATTTTCAATCCAAAAAGCTTTGGTAAACATTTCGTTTTCATAAAATTAGCCATTACTCTTTACAGTATTAATGATTTGTGTCCGTAGTTTTTTTTTTTTATATTCTTTCTATAAATTTTAATTTCAATACAAGAATGTAATACATTGATCCTCTATTGTGATCGGCTCGTGTTTCAACATTGTACTGAACAATCATTTCAATATTACACGAACTTCATTTAAAACCGTATATGCTTATATATAAGCATATACAAAAACCACGTACACTATGTGTTTTGTTAATATTTTAATAACTGTTTTATTAAGGCAAATGTTAAAGTTGGGTTTAATATTGTTGTACATCGGTATAGGAATCGCAATGGTAGCTTTAGTTATCTTAATGCTATGGGGCGTGAGTCACATAAGATATTTTATATGGTGTTTGTGCCGTTTCCATTTACCGAACTAATTAATCGTTAATCATTAGTAAGTATTTTCTTTAATTTTTTTTCAAATTTTTTTTAGTCCCGAAAATGAAGATCATGCCCACAGATATTGGTCCAATATAAAACATCGTATGGTCAACTACTTTAAGTAATATGTTAGAACAAGATAGAGCACATTTCCTCCATAAAAAGTGAGTTACACCGGAAAAAATAACGTAAAAAAAAAAAAAAGGTTTAAATAATTCATTATTTTGGGAAGAAAGAAAATCACGAAATATTAGTTGCTTACAAACTATTGAAGAATAATCAGAATTTGTCTCTTAGTAAAAGTGTTTAATAATAAGATCTTTGTTATAACTAGTCGTTTCATATAATATACCGGATATTATATAAAATTTTTAATTTGATTTCCGATAAAGTATAGAATACATTTAAATAAGAAATAAAACGAGTAAATTTAATTATATTTCATAAATATTGAGTCAGTTACATTCAATACATTCTTAACTGAAGTAATTATATTATCAACAATTAATAACTTTACATAATTTAATAATTATTATTGCATAGAAGCATAAATAAATTTAGAAAAAAAAACACTTCTAGGTATTTTTTAAATTATTCTCTAGATCTTACCATCATTGTATACGAGTTTATAAAATCCTTCACCCGTTTATTTTAAAACAATTAAAATTGCTGGAAAGGTTGACACGCACAGTAAAACTGATCTAATATTATGCTGAACAGTAAAATTACCAAATTGTGAAGTTCAACACATGACTAACGGCACGATAAATGAGAATGTATAAAATAACTAGTTAGAGTATAGATTGTTACACAATACCTATACGTTTTAATTATTTCATAAATTACCTAGTCGTTTCATAAGTAACCTATTGTTTAAATACTCTTGCTGTAACATAAATGTACGACGATATTGTAATATTTGCGATATTATGACCAATATTACCGGTATGAGTGTTTGAAAGAAACTATATTTTGTGAAACAATTTTAAACCACGGGAATACTTCATTTCCTTGGGCTCGTGATATTAATTACAACGCGTACGAACTGCGTTATCGATACAATACTAACAATTACGTCCTGCACGGAGACTTATTACCATCAGATACTAATAATGTAAGTGGCACTCTTGGTCTTGATTTTGCTTTGAATCGAAATATTAAAAAAAAAAAAAAGGTGTATCAATGGTTTATCTTCAGAAATTTTTGGGAACAACATAATATGACTGAAACAGTTAAATTTGTAGCAAATACGACAATTTATATAAATCATAAACTGCAGTCTTTATGTGTACGCCATGAACCTAATTAATCAGGGAAAAAAATTCAAGCTTGAATTTAAAACTTGATCAAAACAAATCAACCAGAACGATAAGAATGTATTACATATATATATATATATATATTATTCGATTTTTTGTTAACAATACAGCTTGGGAAATGTTCTTTATCGTTGCGTTACTTTTAAAAGTTTTCCCATAACATTAACTATCTGCTCAGGTAACACTAAACCCATTTAAACGTTTATATGAAGTTAATTCAAATTAAATGCATTACACGTGGCATAATGACTGAATGCGATCCGTGGGTTGGAAATACGTCGACAAAGTGCTGTTGTTGGTTAAATATTAACGTATCAATGAAATATTTGTTTACGAACAATATTTCTAAAATCGGAAAAGCGATACGACGATATAATATTAATAATATTTATATATTTATAATTAATATTAATTACATGTTCTACACCATTAAAAGCATTTGACAGGATCAACCATAAATTATTAATGAATAAACTTAAAACTTATGGTTTTTCTAAACCACTCTCTTCTTGGTTTCACTCTTTCCAATCAGGCCGTACATAAATAGTTAAATATGAACAATATCTTTTCGAACAAATAAATGTGACTTATGATGTCCCTCAAAGAGATAATTTGTCTCCTTTATTTTTCTGTCTATTTACAAATGATATCTCTATATCATTTCCTACTCAAAAATTTTATTATTAGCCGATGATGCAAAAATGTACAAAAACGTGCATTGTATAGATGATGCACTCAAACTACAAATCGATTTAAATAGTATTTATAAATGGTGTATTGAAAAAACTATGCACTTAAATCTAAGTAAATGTTCCATTATCACATTCTCATTAAAAATAATACCAATATTAATTATTCTTTAGATAATGTAAACTATAATAATTGATCTAGGAGTAAAATTTGTTAAAAAAACTTTCATTTAACGATCATATAAATTATATTAAAAATAAAGCTTCTGCAAAATTAGGTTTTTTAAAACGTTCCTGACGAAAATTTAGACATAAATCTGCTTTAATTACATTATATAATTCCTTAGTTCGATTTCATTTTGATTACGCACTACTTATTTGGCATTCATATTCTGTAACACAAAAACAACATCTAAATAAAATCCAAAATAACTTCATAAAATTTTTATGAATATGAATATGTTTTCATATTTATAGAGCTCCACGTTCTCCCTACGATATCACAATCAATTTCTTTAATATACTAACATTAGAAAAACGATTTATGCAGCTAAAATTAAAATTCTTATATAAAATACTTAATAATTTGGTTGATTGTCCCGAACTGTTGCAAAATATAAACTTTAAAATAAATTCAATAAACTGTAAAATTACGAGTCTTTTTTATATTAAACACACCAGAACAAATTATATGTTAAATTCACCATCAAACGTATTAATGTCTACTGGAAATTCAATGAAAGATCTAGATTTTTTTAATAAATCCTTATCGGCATTTGTGATGTATGTTATAAGAATGATTCAATAATTTATTTTAATTTTTTTTTATTCTCTTATAAACTATAAGTCTATTACTATTGAACCATTATTTATCACTATTATTATTATTGTTATCACCACTTTTATTTGTATTATCCATTTATTGTTAATATTTTATTATTACATTCCGTTAATAAAGATATATTATTATTATTATTATAAGATGCTCATCGAAATCTGAGAGCTTTTTATACCATATTATACCTATCTAATTATATTGTGATTTGCTTAAAGGACGACTTCTATCACATTCAATGGTCCATAGTTTCTCTACTACAGTCATCAAGCTAATCAAACCAGAATTCAAGATGAACTGCTACATTCCAAACCATTCAAACTCATCACATATTACGTTTTATCTGTATCTACGTTCTCAAAAGCAACTTAATTCTATTACCAATGAAATGCATTTCATTTAAACGGTACTCTATTATTATTACATTCACTATTATGGCTATTATTATTATTATTATTATTATTATTATTATTATTATTATTATTGTAATTACTGCAAGTATTGTAATTACTATTACTATTTGGTAATATTATTAAATATTATCACTACCAAAACCGTCAATAATAATTAACATTATTAAAAAAATTCATGTTTGAGGTAAATTATAACTCTAAATAAAAACAATCGAAGCATAAATAATCCAAAAACAAATGATGCGAGTACACAATACCGGCAGTATGTAAAATGTAATTATTTAATTTTCATCGTAAATTCTGTAGGTATTTTATAAAACCTTAAAATGAATGGATACAAAAATATCGTAGTGTGATCTTCTTCATGGTTACAGCTATAGCATAAGAAAAAAAAAATAGAAACACAAAAGTATTATTCACATTTGGTATTAAATGAAATAATCTACGGATTATTGTAAATCTTATCTTTTTATCATAGGTTTTGATTTATTTTAAGTCTTGTATCTAATACTAATGATTTTAATTTTGTTTTTTGATTTCTTAACAATTTTGCGAAAATTTGGCAAACGATACTTGAATAGGACCATGTTTATGCTTGATTAAATAACTTATAATTAAAACGAAAATATTTATTTAGTTACACAACACTTTAATTCGTCCACTAATACTGACATACTAATCCATTTCAAAAACTGTTTATAGTGAGAATTCTTTCTTCTATATTGTTTTAGAAATACTACAATAGAAAATATTGTATTATAAATAAAAATGTTTAAAATACACTTAATACTATTAAAACATGACATTATACTATAATTTAAAAAATACATACCAAATGTAAACATTTATTCAATAATTAAAAGAGTAAAAAGTATATTATTTTAAAAATATCTATATTTTAGTTGTTTTACTTTTGTTTTCGTTTTCAATTTTATTTCAGACGTATATAAATTAAAATTAAGTCTAAAAAATACCATAACAATTGAATATATTTTTTTTTAATGTAATTTTAACAAAAATCTAAATCCAATCAGGCTTCAAGCATTATCAAATATAATTGAAGTTTACGTGTAATTAACAATTTTTTAAAATGCGTATTGTGTTCAAGTATTTTATATCTAATTATTTTAAATGTTATATCAAATATCAATAAATAATAGTGGCCTTAATTGTCACAAGTCATAAATACTATTATTTTAACGCCGGTTTCATTAAACAGCTGAAACGTTTACGCATTAACTTCGAGTTATTAATCTACGAAAATAACTATTTTTTTCCTAGGTCTGTTTGCAATATACTTATCGTATCCGTTCACAGTTTAATAACTAGAAATACAATTTAAAAAAAAAACTCTAAAACAGGTTGTATATTAACAGATGTATATACCGAAATATGTGAAGTTTCTACACTTCAATCAAAAATGATTTTTAAATTCTCATCGAACTTATAAGTATCTGGTACACTCTTCGATATTATAATATAACACATAGTACTCAATATTGTCGACCGATCGTCGTCACCAAATGCCCAAAAACCTTTGTTCAATTTTATTTATCTATTCAGACAACTCGTTTCCCATGACTATAACTATTCTTTTAATATTATATAACTATTCTGTATAAATATATAACTTTTAATATAAGGACTATATAACTACTCTTTTTGCAACTTGACGGGTGTAGTAGGGAAGGATATAAACCATGTGCTCCATATTATTATTTATTTGCATGTTTCGTCATAATTCTTTATCAATTTTTTTCGTTTTAGCACTAGCATAGTTTTTATTTCTCCTCCGAAAAGGATAATATCGTGATTGTTCTAAACTAGTGGTAAAAAAGAGTTGAAAGATTAATTATCCTCTTGATTACTGTGTAAGTTATTTCTATTGATTTTACCTATAGTTAAAAATATAAACGCAAATCTTAGCTCTTAAAGACGTTATTATGAGTAGTCAATCAAAAATTAATGATAGTTACGATTGAAATTCAGGTTCCCTGTAAATTTCGTATAAACGTAGAATAATAATATTGTGTGGGTTTTGTTTAGCTTATTGTTTTTTTTTTTTTTTTGCCCTCGTACGGATAATGTTTAATTTGTACGAATATGAACGAGTTACAGTTAGGTATATGAACACCAATTAATTTTAAGTGTTTTATAAAGTGGTCCGATAATCGTGTGATACCGAAATCGGAAAGGTGAAAATATAATATTACTTAGGTAACTTAAATACAATCAATGTTTACAAAACTACAATACCTTCAATCCTTAAAAAAAAACAAAAAAACAATAAAAAAAAAAAAAAAAAAACATTTTGTTCACAATGAATAAATGTTATGAGTAAATATTTGACTAATGTTTGACTAAAAATTGATGTGTAAATATAGGTATTTCAATTTGATTCAGAGACATTTTTAAGAATGCTCATAAACAATTCATTAGTAGTAGTTATTTTAACGAAATCACTATTGATTGAACATAATATATATATATATATATATATATATATATTTGTTGTTTTTTTCTTTTTAAATCAATTTAAAACTAAAATTTAAATATCTTATAAGTAGGTGAACGTGGGGCAAAATGGGGACGCTAAGGTTTTAATAGGAATAAACTGTTCATTTCATATGATATTTTTCTAAAACTACAGTCATATGATCTTTATGTTGTCTAATATTATACAAGTATCAGCTAATAAAAATAAAATAATTTTTTACTTAGTAACAATTAAAAACTACTTAAAAAGCTCATTTTGTCCCATGTTGCCCCATATATGGGGCAAAATGAGGTACTCTTTATAAAATGAAAAAAAATTTGACAAAACATACATTTTTTGATTTATTTTTTATTTTATTAATATAAATTATCTTATTTTATTTTAGCAAACAACTTTCTTAGCATTTGAATTTTTAGTCATAACTTTTTTTTTTTCTTCTGATGTTTTGTTTAATGATAAAGATCTTTTATAATTTCTAACCATGATATAGAATAATCTACAGTTGAAAAAATCATAATTATAAACATAAATAAGCTTAAAATATATTTATTGATACTTGGGGTAAAATGGGGACGTTCCCATTTTGCCCCTACAAGACACTTACTTATTTAATTATTCTGGCAGACGTTATGATAATTGTTAAGTACAATTTTTATAAAAATACTATTTTTATGTAGGTATACTTAATAAATAATTACGAATGTAAAAAAAATTAACTTTAAACAAAAAATGTGGTTTTTATGTAACTTTTATCTCGGTATCATATTTTTCACGTTTTTATTAATAACTCATATTATAGTGCAAATTAATTAATTAAACTTTAACCACGTTTTCTTGATCGAGGAACGATTCTAAACAGCTGTTGTAAAACTGACATTTTCATTATTTTCTTAAAATTAAACCGTGTCCCCATTTTGCCCCACGTTATTTCCCTACATTATTTGTATAAATATATATTTTTTTCGTTTTAAAATTGGAGCCTGTATAGTACAAAAAGAAAACATTAACAAAGTTTGATTATTTACATAATAAGTTGGTGTTTACTTAATACTAACATTTCAAATAGTTTAGCTTATTTGTGATTTTGTTAACTTATTCTTCTTTCAAATATACTACCTAAATATATTATAAATATATACATACATATATATTCTTCTTCTTCTTCTTATTTTTATTTTTCTTTAGTTTCAGCTTTTAAGACCATATTTCGAAAGATAAGCTTAGCCACCTATCTATGTTTTCTGTTGCTTCTCTTCATTTGTTATCAGACTCAAATCAATCTTTTATCTATTTTATTTTCTGTTATTTTTTATCATTATTTTCTACATCTCTCTTCGCACTAAATTCCCACTAGAACTTTATTATAATATTCTAATTTATATATTTTGAATCGTGCCATCTGGATTACCTTGTGTAAATGTTTATTACCTTTTCGATTGTGTTTACTTTATTATTGGACCATTTTAATAAAATTAACCTTGGTATAATTAATAAAAAAGTGATGTTTTTTCGTTAGATAGTTAACATTTTCTTTGTTGTATAAAATAAGCTAAAAATAGTTTAAGTATAATCGTAAGAAACGTAGTTTTAGAATAATAATTAATTAAGTACGGAATAGCATTAAAAATATTAGTATAAACAATATGTTTTGTTGAATAACTTATTTGAAATATTATCATATTATACTTAAAAATACATTAAAATATAATATACAATAAATAAATTAATTTTTATAATTCACTTCAAGGCGAATGCTTTTAGAAAATATATTGTATGACATAAACTGATTAAAATAAATAAATACTTCAAATTATTTATTTTTCCTTATGTAATACCTTATAAATTCTATATCAATACAGATAAATTAACAGTTGGGGGTATGTAAGGCAATGGCGAGAGGGGTACGTGAATGAAAAATGCTGTTTTAGATATTTGATGAATGATTTACCTATTTTTTGGTTAATGTTAATAATTAAATAAATTAATAATGTAATAAATATATTAAATCTAGAAAAGATCGATTAGAAGTATATTTTATTAGTAATTAGTAGTTTAGATTAGTAATTAGATACTAGGAATTTAATTTCGGAATTGATAACTGAAAAATAATAGCAAAGACTTGTTGAAGACGTTTTGTAGAAACGAATTTTGACATGACAGCATTAGACTATGAAATATATTTGCTTCATATCTCAAGGAATATAAAAGACTGATTTCAGTTAAATTTTATTAAGTGGAAAGGAGGACGGAACTTAAATATAGTAACTTTTAAATAATCAACTGTTTAAAATAATATTAAATTATAAACATTAAGATAATTTTTATTTCTAGATGTTGTCTTATTCTATCGAAATATATAATTTTTAATTTTAAATCTTATGTATAAGTATCTATGTGTCTGTGTGAAAGGATGGAACTTAAATATAGAAACTCTTAATAATTAAGAAAGAAACAAAAGAAAAATTAATAATAATAATAATAATAATAATAATAATAATATTGATTAATGATTAATTATTAATCAACTATTTAAAATATATTAAATTATAAGCAATAAGATAATTTTTACTTCTAGATTTTGTCATAGTGTCTTTTGAAATGTATAATTGTTAATTTAAAATCTTATGTATTAGTCTCTATGTGTCTGTGTGATTACATGTAGTTTTAAAATTTAAGTTTACCCTTTCGAATGATAATAAATTATGTATTTTTTTTTCTTAAAATGATATTGCCATGAAATTAACTTTGGCAATGTGTTTTAAAGAATAATGTTGACATATCAGTCGGGTTATATGCAACGTATATGTCCAGACAATCGGGTGGTGATAATGGTGACTCAATTCTCTCCAGAATATTGACTATTAGAAACTTCTTTTAAAAGATACACGTGTTGTTTGCGTAAATTGTTGTTTTCTTATGTGATAAAATAAAAATTAAAAAAAAAAAAATTAAAACCAGCTTTTAATTTCAATTATTCGTTAGTACATTTTCAAACGGGAATAAACATCACCGACTTTGCCACGACATTTCAATTAGTAAATCAATTAAAACCATTAAGTAAATCTGTAGTTGGAATAAAGATGAAAGAATAAATATTTTTCGTTTTCATGGTTTATTGTCACCAAAAAAAATAGCTTGAACCTCAGAGCGTTTTCCATAGTTATAATTTGAAGATCCTGCAGTTAAATGTGTTTAGACAATATTGATTGCGCAATATTGACAGCATTATTTTTTAACGTCAAAAAATATATAGCAGTGTTATCACCTCCCGACCATGTTGTTCCGACCGATTTTATATATCTATATTTCATTGTAAGTTATAATATAATATTAATTATATTGATTTAACTGGTTCAAAGGTACTAAAATAGAAATAGTGTTTTTAGCATTTAGTTTTAGTAGTTTTAAAATATTGTAACCTAGTGTGTAGTAACCATTATATTATACTATGTTTACTAATATTATACCATGCACATTTAAGTGCCATTACTAACCATTATCTATATGTTGTGTGAGAAAATAAACAAAATTCTGTTGTTTCGTACGCAGTACCAAAAACAAAGCGTTTTTATTCTAATTTTATTAATCTGTACGTGTATATTAATTATATTAGACAAGTATACATAAAAAAAAAAAAAGTAAAATAAAATAATAATCGTAATCGATGGTTTTAAAAAAAAAAAAAAAAAAAAAAAGAGTATAAATTATAATATTTCGTAATGAAATCAAGTTGAAAAAAAACCAAATTACAAAAACTCTAATGAGATGCGAAAATCTGTTTAATCTAAAGAACCTTGGGTAATGGTATGTTACCGAATACGGAAGAGCTGTAGTTCTTTTTCACGATTTCCTGGAGTTGACGGGCGTGTTTCAAGTCTCTCGTTTCGCACACGACTTTGACCTTTGTAAATGAACAAAAAAAAAAAAAATAACATCAATATGTTTCCAAATTAATTTGAATAATAACCATAAAGGAAATACTGAGAGCCTAACGAAAATGTCCGTAAACAATTATATTCATTTCATAGTTATGCTTTTTACGTGTAAATCACGGCTAATCACCACATTTCCTATGATTTTGACCTCACATTTCTTGGGTGAACATATTTAAAAAATGTAAGCCAAGAAGATCACTATTATTGGAAAAATCTACTCAATATTCCATGGATAGCGATCTTTTCGGATTCCATATTGGTTTCATTACTACGAAATTCAGGTTTAAGAAATTGAACTTTGAATAAATGAGCAAAAAAAAAAAAGAAAAGACGAGATTTTTTTGTTTTACATTACTATTAATCGAGAATTAAACATCAAGGCAGTGGGAATTTCCTCAATAAACTTTATTCTTATCCATTAAAAACGAAAAGTTTCAACAGGTTTTTTTTTTTTTTTTTTTTAATTGGTCAATACCAGTTGATGATGGGGAGGTGTGAGCATTTTGAAAACCGATACTCACGTGTCGTCTCTATGGGCATCGAACGAAATATGAGAAAAGACATTACCTTTCTACGACGACCTGTGATGTACAAGCTTACGTGTACTCACCCTGACACTAAAAACGTCGTCGGACAGCCAAGCCCTCTCGTGTATTATGTCCTTCACGCACACATTGATCGTAGCCAATATCCTGCAGAGTTCCGCGATACCCCCGGGCCGATCGCTAAGGGTCGCGTGGAATTTCACCAGTCGCCCGTCGATGGCCAACCCTCGATCCAGGCATCTGCTCAACACTGAGGTATCGATGTTCCCGCCACATAACAGCAACACGACTCTGCGGAAAATAAAAAAATAAATAAATACAAAATGCATTGGTAAATACGGCGATTGCTTCTTTAGCGATAAATCTGATTAACCGCGAGTTATCGACATGGCAAGCGACTACGAGGTTATTTTTATTATTATATTTCTACGATAAAATAATATCGTTTTTGAACAAAGAAGTAGGTCTAAAAATATCGTTTTGAATTATTGTTGTTCATTATTATTTCAGTGGGTCACGTGAAACAATAATCGTACATTCGCTTCTAAAAGGGTCTCTAAACTCTGAGTGTCCAAAGACGAGTCTGGATGACACTGAATATTATGAGTGTGAGCGGATAAGGTACACAGTCGGATAACGTCAATAGAGTATGGGACGTATTAGTGATTTCAAACTCTAAACCTTGTGTTCTTGTGTGTTGTACTATTGAATATTAAATTTTATTTTTTTATTTTACGCCAATATTATTTTTCTAATCACCCTGAACAGACGTTTCGAACACTCACTTTTTCCCCACAAACTCGTCTAGTTGACCAGATAACGCGGCTGCGAGACCAATAGCTCCGGCACCTTCGACCACACATTTTTCGGTCTCGACTAATTTCAAAATAGCCATCGATATCCATTCCTCCGTTACTATGATCTACAATGAAAACACCATTATAGTTAGATTTATGTATAACTGCACTACACTCAAGACAAAATTCCGTGGCCTAGTGCTTACTACTCATACGGGTGTGCCAGAGCATGATATCATCTCCCCATTTTCGAGCAATGGTTAAAGCTCTTAACATTCATTATACAAATAGGATACCGTTTATTCACTAGAATTGTACATTTTTCAGAGTATGAGCACGGAAAATATTGGTGAAGATTACTCTACATTCTAGTTAGGATACGGATTAAAACAAGGTTGAAAATATTATCATTTATAACTAACTAGTTAAATACATCGATATTTAACCATAGAATCTGACTGAAAATTGTGGAAAAATATCTATTATGATAAAAAAGAATGTACAAAATTAATTTTATTATATATTTTTTTTTTAAGTAGGCCAATCGGTAGAAGTGCATGACTTACATTGTATCGTCAACGGTGATCATTTTTAAATAAAAGATAAAACTTATTCCGAATTAAATATTCAGATTTACATCGAAATGATAAACGAATAAAATAATTTTTTTTTTTTTTTTTTTAAGTGCAATCGTATAATAAAAACTATGATACATCGACAAAAATATTCATTCCAACAGGGGCGGACTAGGTATCGAGGGCACCTATTATTATCATATTTCAATAAATATTTTTAGTTAATAGTGTTGAAATCGTATTTTTGTACTTTTTGTACTTAAATGTTTTATATGAATTTACAAATAAAAACAGAAAAACTAAAATTAAATATTAGGTTAATTTCCATTAATATGACACTATCGAGGGCCCGGAGGCGAATTGGCTGGAACCCGATTGAGCACGATTGATATTTTTCGTAACCCGATTGAGCACGATTGCAATCAAACAATAGGAACCAAAAAGAACCCAAAAACCACATGATTGAGTACGAAAATGGGTGCGATGTTGCCGCAATGTGCCGTAGAATATTATTCAGTGCACCGTATTACTGTGCATGAAAGATTTTTTTATAATTATTATGTAATTCAATTTTAGATTTTTAACTATTATTTCATAATTTAAATTTTTTTACGGCTCAGGTTTCCTAAAAGAAATAACTCTACAATAGAAAAACGACAAGACACCTTTTTTTTTTCGAATTGTTTATATTGTTGGTGTATAGAGTTCCATATTATTATTACAAAATAAAATACATTTGAATATAATTATTTATAAATAAAAATCTTTTATTAAATTTTAATCACATTTTACAATTATACATTTTTTTTTGCTAAAAAATAGCACTCATGCAATTGTCATGAAAAGGGTAAATATTTTTTTCCTAAATACTTATTTCCAACTTTCAATAAGTATTTAAGTAGGTTGTCAGCATTTTTTAATTCAGAGTACCTACTCACGATAAGCCTTTGTAGCGGTATTTTTAACGCACGGTAAAGTCAAGGTGCACGGGACGGTTTTCGAAATATCGCGCCATAATTTTACTGCGCGACATTCGTGTGTTGTGCTCTATTCATTTTAATGTACTTTAACAAAACGCGCAGTACAATTACGCTAGTGTGTTGCCAGTCTAATAGTTTTCAATCTGACAACGTTGTACACAATATATTTTTTTTACCATGCTCAATCGGGTATCACCGGGTGAATTTGCTCCTTTGTCTCCCTGGCCGGTCCGCCTCTGCATTCAGAAATTGTAAATACACAATTTGTGTAACGCAAAATGAAATATGTCGTCAGAACACACGAAACGAAATTATTTACATAATATCATGAATCTACGGCAATGCACTACTGGGCGGCTGATTGTTGTATCGTATTGTCTGTATTACAACCTAACCTTACCATTTTGTCGACTAGATTCGCGGCGGTGGCGAACGCGTTGCAACCGACTCTGGGCACGGCCAACCCATCGGCCAGCGTGGACTTGCCCTCCACGGTCACGGGCCTCCCGTATTCCATGGCTTTCGAGAAACTCGGTACCCGATCGGATTCGACGCCCTAAAATAATAAGGATAATAAAATTTTAAATTTAAAATGTTTGCAGTCAGTAAACGTATTTATAACGTCATCGGGTCAAATGTTCCGTTTGTTTTTTCGATCACCATTTTACGATATTTTTGTTTTAAATCTTTTTGACGATCGGTTATCATAAATATTTAAACCAGTGCAAGAATCACTACTTCAATCCTTCGGCTGAAATCACTTCTTTAAACCTCTGCAATCTACAGTAATGCAATTATTTCCAATGCGACGTCATACGATATCGTAAGCAGTGTTTTTGTTGCCTATCGCGTGAGCCGCGTTGTAATTTAGATGTATTCAACTTCCTGCGTGTCAATCGATTAGTGATTCAGGTAACCATTTCCTACCCATCGCGAAGTCATCTAAATAGGCTTTAACACATTTTCCATTCATATTTAGTTACGAGTTTTACGAAAATTTGTTAATTTTATTTAATTTTTTTTCAATCTGAATTTTTCATCAATTTCGGCACGCGTTATATTGACTATAAAATCGGAAATCGAATATTGAACATCACAATGAATTCAAATATGCTTTCGACCGCTGAACGTATCATCTATATATATATATACGTTGGAAGTATAATACTTTAATTAGATTACTACATGCTATACGTCCGTTGGACTATATAGACGGCAAGGTCCTCTTGGTAAAAAAAATATTTTTAAATCAATAACGATATTAAAAATGCACTTATACCTTGAATCTTTTAATAGTATTCTTATCAAAGTCTCAACTGGATATCGACCACCATGTTTGTATAAGTGTTGGTGTTCGGCTAATTACTAAACTTACCGATAGCGATTGATACCAATTAATTAAAAAAAATGTTTATCACTTTGGCATCAAGGTAAGTACTTTATGCTCATTAATAAAACTATTTCCTCATTTCTTGCAATCAAATTATTCATAAAAATGAAGTGTTTACTTAATTTATTACAATTGGATAATACGAATGAATATGATTATTAGTTACGATTGTTGTGTTATTGAATTTACATTATTTCATTATCATTTCAAAAACTTAATCAATTTGATAGCAATCAAACAAGAATGAAATAATGATAATCTATACAGAAACGCTATATATAAAGTAATTGTTTTTCTTTTACTTATCACATATTGATTTATATGTATATTTTATATATAAATAGACAATTTGACGTTATGCAGTATTACAGATAATAAAATATAATATGAGCAAATATTATATACAAATATATATATATTGCTATACCAATTGCTTTGTTGTATACATGTTATTATTATATTTTCCACAATTAACCTCTTAACCTCACTGGCTCATCATTTCAGTCATTAAATATTATATAATATATGATTTTCATTAACGAAACCATATTCGTTGTATAAATATAATGTATATATATTTACATATGTTCAAAAACACCTACAGATCATGGTTGAACAATTTGTATATATTTTTCGTGTTTTTTCACTTTTATTCTAGAACACAATGTTCCAACACATAATTACTTGTATTAAAATCATAACATACTATTAAAAAACTTAATACGGTATAAGCTATAAAGCTTGATACGAGTATATATCGTTTTATGCAATTATGTGTATATGTTTTTGAAAATACACAAAAAATTACAGCGAGAAACTGTATTCCCACGTGAAAAAAATAAACAAACATAAAAAAAAAAAAAATGATTGTTTGTTAATGCAAACTGATGATCGAAACAAATTTTTTTTTTAATTTTCTGGTATTTACAGCTTTTATAATAATAGTCTTATACTCTCATGGTGCAGTTTAAAAGTACAATAAAATTAGAAGTACTCACAATTATTTTACAGTTTTTCTTTAGAGTTTTCACCGCCAATGACACGCCGGCCAATAAGCCTCCGCCTCCGACTGGAACGACGATTGCATCGGCATCTGGTACGTCTTCCAATATCTCGAGTCCAACCGTACCCTGGCCAGCCATTATGTGAGGGTGGTCGTACCTATAAATTTGGTTCGTGTTAAATATTCCACCTTGAAAATATATTTTACTTGCAATAACTGCTTTGTGTTCTTTGAAAACGGTTTTTAATAAAGTGATCTTAGACAATGTTTTCCAAGTTCATGTAACAGACACGTAATAAATGAAACTTTTTCATTTTTAAACCATTTTTAATCATATTGTTAGTTTTTATTTGTACGTTATACGGCTTATTGATTTAAATGTAAATAATTTATAGTAATTTATCTAAAGATCGTTAATTTTCTATCCTGATATTTAGCATGTTCTTAAATTTGAGCTTCAAAAATAACAGGAGATTGCTGTTGCGTATGGCAGTTCAAAGGTTCATTTATAACGAAATATAGATGATAATAATACAGTACAGTATACAGATTTATCGAGTATAAAAAAAAAAAGAACTACAGTTATTTCGTGAAAACCAAAACTGAACCCATGACATACTAATAATAACAACGGTAGATGTATTGTATAATTTGGAGAAGTATTTGTCGATTCGATAGCGTTTGAATACTATTAATTTGAGGATAAAGTTAAAATGAAAGTAAATAATGGATTGAACGGTGTCAGGGATCCACAATAGTTTGTTTATAAGAATAATAGTGACATACTCCCACTCACCCCGAGTGCCAACATCTGTATTTTTGGTTAGCAAACAAGGCAAGCAAGATACGTAAAAAATGTCCGTAGATTTCTTAAGATAGGCATTTAGATATTATGCAAATCATTCCAATAGTTAATTAATACTATTTACAACTGAGAATCGTAAAAGTTGTACAGTTTTTAATCAGTGTTTTTACTAACATTTTTTTTCTTTTATTAGCAAAATATATTATAACTAACGATCGTGTTTTGGTTTGATCCTGATTTAAATGATATCACAGCCGTAGTCATTAATTATTACGATTCAAACGATTTATACGTTTACGTTTGCACAGACGCTGGTATGATGGGATCATCGATTGTATTATTATAAAATAATAATAATTCCAATAGTATTTTTAAGGTAAAAAAAAGAACCGGTGCATAGGTTGTACACAATATTGTATTCTCCAACCTGTAAATGTTGAATTCCTTAGGTTTTCCTGATAAAAATAAAATCAAAGAACACGAAAGAATCCTTTATGGAGCCATTTCACGGTTCAACATAACGTTAATGTTTTATTGAAAGAAAATGTCCGATTCGATCGAAAAATATTGCAATATCATTGCACAAAAAAAATGCAACAAAAAAATAATATCTAAAACGTATACCACATGCAACGTGAATAAATGAAAAGCACAGAGAAACCACAATTTTCAGACGTTACGTCATGTGTTGTATATAGACCGTTTTCGGTATTTTAACTCTCCCGTAGTTTTGGTCATTGGTCGACTACCCATTCGTCCCATTAATCGACCGTTTATATCAATTCATTTCGAACGGATGATAAACCGTCGTTTTCATAACTTTATGGATGTATCAAAGGTTAGGTTAGGTAAGGTAAGGTCCGGGTCGGGTTTATATCGAATGGGTGCTTTTAAAATTATTGTTCCGGTTGATTAGCAAATCGGTTAGGTGTTAATATTAACTCCGGTACCATCGTAAAGTAAAACAAGGACAGGGTTAGAGAGCAAAGAGGGATACATGTTCTCCTAAAATATATTCTAGCTCTCCCGATTTCCATTAAAATTTAGACCATGATTTTTAATGAATAATATTCTTGATACGCTTAACAACGTTGGAAGAGCAACTTACGCATTTGCCATTATTAAGCATAAAGTGATTTAGATAATACTAACAACGAAAACGTATTGGCGGGGTCGACGAGAAGGAAGGGCAGAAGAGCCGGAGCCCCGTGGCCCAAGTGTCCAAGGAGCCTAGTTTTTCTGGCCTATCATGTCAAAAAAAAAAAATATGTATAATAATTTTTCATGCTAAAATTAAACAATAATAATCGATTTTGTGTGTTCACCGTGAGCTGAATAATATAGTAATATGAGCGATGCGGTAAAACCCTAACAGGCCGTATGGGTTATTATGGTTTATTTTTTATTTAAATTTATAAAATATTGTAATTAAACCAAATACTATATTTGTTTATTATTCGCAAACTATTAAACTGAAAGAATAGTGTTGTATTACAGTGGTATGGTTATCTTACTCAAATAAATGCAAGTAAAGTGAGCCCAAAATCGATCGACCGGTGCCTCACAAATGCTCTCACATATTGAAAATAATTCCAATCAGTAGTAAGTGAACATGAAGAAATCAATCTCAATCCATCAAAAGTTATTCTATCAGGAACTTCTTGTCCAGCGTGTCTCAACCGTAGGTACGTACGCAGTTGAAAGGACGAAAAATGAACGTGAACATAGCGCGGGGAAAAAAACAAAACGCATCGCGTCACGACGTACAATTTATGTCACGTTATGACATAAAATTAAATTTTAAAATAAATCCAATAAACTCTAGAAAGAAAGTATGTTTTATTTAGTCAACACCAACCCTAATTATATGCTATAAACATGTCAATGTCTGCAGCAAATACTGATTTGGTTTTTGATCCGTTTCATTAAATGATTATTTTTTTTCTTTTTATTTTTTTCAACCATTTCTCTGCGATATAAAAACGATAACCGATAATCTGCCACTCATCAAATAAAACTTCTTAATCCATTTCCCTTTCGTCGTTACTTATTATTATTTATTTTCTAACAAATCACTCCAACCTAAACGTGTTTTTTACGTTTTACTTTATATCATATATGGTCTTCTCGTATCGTTTTGAAACTGGAGTTTCCCGTTTCAGCCAAAATAATATTAACCGTTTTCGCCATAGCTCTTTTCCGCCAAAAATGAAAAAGGTACAATTCCTGTATCCGCCAAAAGCCATTTCCACCAAAAAAAGTTTGGAAACCATTGGTTTTAATTTTTACGCAATATTGAATATATGTTATGTGTGGTATGCGTTAAAGTTATTTATAATGTATACCTACACTGATAATCGTCGATAATAACGGTACACTGTTCTATATACTGTATCATAGTTTAGTTATAATTCGCATACAATAATTATCTGACAAATGTTAAATTCTTATATATCCATTCAGTATCTGTTCTTTTTGTCACCAGAACACTTAAACTTTCTTATTTAATTACAGTTCTTAAAATGGAATTTGTTGTAAATAAAAGAGGTAAAACAATGTTGATTTTTTATGGGTTTAAATATGTTTTTGGTTATACTTCACAAACAAATGTAACTCTAACTCAGTGGAGATGTTTTATGAAAAATTGTCGGGCCAATATTTTCGAAAAAGAAAAAGTAATACTTGAAACGAAAGGTACGTTTTTTATCTACAAGTAAATAAATATATTTATTTAATTATTTATTTATTTATGACGATATGTGTTTTTTCAAAACTCTATCGAAACAATATTTGACTTATCCTTGTTTTTTACTTTATAAATACGTAGAATGGACATATTATAATATGAAATTATGTAATACTTTAAAAACTCTAATATAATTGTACGTATATTCGAATAATATATTATTATTATCTACTTGTATTAAAATTTATAATGAAAGAATATGTAATAATTGTACATGGTTTCCAAACGTTTTATCATAAAAATAAATTTTGGTGGAAACGGGAATCATACTTTTTTCGGTTCTAGTGATATAGGGCTGTGCGTAAATCAAGGAACTGGATTTTTAGCGGAATAGTTACATGCCCTTTAAAACATCATGTAAGTACACGATTTACGTTCGCTGTGCATAGCAAAATATTTGTAATCTATTCCGTGACAAAGAATCGTTATCATTATCGTACGCACCCGTTGATGTACATGATGTTCTTCTCCTTGGACAGCTTCAGGGCCAAGTGCTTGGACTCCTTCATGTTGTTGCCCTGCACTATGACGGTGGCCCCGAAGTTGCGGCACGCCTCGATCTTGATGATGGGCGCGACCGTGGGCATGACCACCGTCACCGGCACGTTGAGCCGCTTGCCGTGGTAGCACAGGGCCTGCGCGTGATTGCCCAGCGACGCGGATATGACGCCGTTCTGCTTGTGCTCGTCCGTCAGCATCATCAGCGCGTAGCACGCGCCGCGCTCCTTGAAGCTGAAACGCGACCAATGCGTTACGATCACCAGAAGAAAGCGCGTCTGCCCGCCCGTCGTGCGCGCGTTCTACGTTAAATATACAGATATGGGAGGGATAGGGGCTGAGTGGTGTGAGGCCGAATTACGGTCGTAACATGAGGGTGATGTTACATTTATTCGAGCCTTTTTATCAAAAAAAAAAAAAAAATAAAAAAAATAACGATCCTGTTTTTCGTTTTGGATTCAGTCATTCGGAATGAATATTTTAATTAATCGATCAATTTGATAGATCATCGCAAATTTACGACATGAACAAGATACGTTAGTGGTCCGTAGGTAATCCGCCTCCCGTCAGTCATCGACTGCCGGAACAATGTGTTAACGAAACTCATCGTTTCAAATACGTACGCTTTTGATGTAACTATTGATGTAATATTATCGATGCGTTAATGGGGATCGAAAAACCTAGAAAACCCTTTACTAATGTTCATTCTATGTTACTTTAGTCTATAGTCTAGGGTGACCAAAAAAAAAAACAAACAGGATACATTTTTTGAAATGGGTAAAAAAAAATTATTGATTGTCGTCAAAACAAGAAACTTATACTTATATAAATAATATATATGTATACATAATAATAATTATTGTTTATATACTTAATTATGAATGAATGAATACTTAATTAATAATTACATAAAAATAATATATATATATATATATTATTATAACAAAACTTATATTTTCAAAAATAATTTCGAATAATAATTAACGTTCTAGTGTTATGAATGTTATTTACAGTGGCGGACGCAGGGAGGGGTTTTAGGGGTACGACCCCCCCACCCTCCGAAATGAATGGATGATTAATTTCAAACGTAGTTATCCTACCTTATGTATCTTAAAAAAAATTAATTGTTCAAAATATGATTAAAATATGCTAGAAAAAAAATGTTTTGTTAAGAAAA